GTCACAAGACCGGTCACAAACCAGACATAAGACCAGTCACAAGTCCATTCACAAGACCAATCACAGACCAGTCACAAGACCAATCACAAGACCAGTCACAAGACCAGTCACAATATTAACCTGAACAGTGACACACAAATAAATTTGTTGTTTTTTAAAACGAATAGCTTGTGACTTGAAGTCGGGCTGGAGGTCCTGTGGTGGTCTCATGGTGGTCTCCAGAGGTCACAACCATAACACAGGATTTTGACTTGAGTGAATCCTTTTATATCATGACTTGTGTTGCACCTCTGAAGTTCACAAGACACGGAATTTCAGTATCAAATAACGTTTGAATAATTCTGAGATCCCGATGATGTTTTGATTATTTGCATTTTTTTCTCACCTGCAGAATCTTGGCGCTGGAGAAGCTGGGAGCCGTGTTCAACCAGGTGTCCAACCCGCTGACCTACACGCCACGCAAGTTTGCCATCCACCCGGAGAGCAACCACGTCGTGGTCATCGAGTCGGACCACAACGCCTACACAGAGACCACCAAGGCCATGCGCAAGCAGCAGATGGCCGAGGTAGGGACAGTCGAGCACGGCTCTCTGGCTTGTCAGTTCGCTTACACAGCCTGGTCAGTTTTGTACGCGTCCAGAATGCACTCACTCGGGGAAGCGAGGGCCTCGTGTTTAGGGTTGAGTGTGGTACAATTTCAATACAAACTGTATCTTGCTATCTCTTACATGGATGTCAAGTTTGGCGTACCTTCCGCCTTGAGCAATTCTTGATCGTCGACTGTTGTCTTGTTGGTTGTCTGTTTCCAATCCATATGTAGCAGTTCACTGTATTCCAATCCATATGTAGCAGTTCACTGTATTCAGAGGTGTGAAAATTCAGCTTTTTAGCTGATTTCAGCTTTTTTTTGTTCTGATGTTGACCCTGAATGTCAGCTTTTTTTTGTGCACCTGCTATGAACAAAGGTATGGGAACTTCTTACATTTCAGTTTCTTGTTTTCAGCTTTTATTTTAAGTGCCACACCCACCCCTGTTACTCCTACTAGACGACGCCAGTCGAACTATTGTTTTCAAATTTCAGCTTGGATCCAATTTTGCCTCTCTCGTAGTGTCTGCGATCTGTGCCGCATTGAACAGTGGTATTGTTCAATCAGTGGCTCCATCTGTACTTAATTATAAAAAAGGCTGTTGATTACTAGCAATGTGATTGTGCCCCCAGGTCCCAGTTTCAAACAGTTGACTGGATAACTCGTTCCAATCATCCACTGGTCAAAAGACACCGGTCAAGTAGTGAACAAGAAAGGCCACTGTTTATTGAACTCTGGTCGATTTTCCCCGGCGCCCATGATATATTTTGTGCAGAGGTGTAGATGTAAGACAGTGATTAAAGTGACTGGTGGTCAACAAATGGCGGTCGCTCAACTTGAACTGTGTTTAAATATAGTTGGCACTCGAATCTGCCCGAAAGGATGAAGAGAGATTTGAACCCCCTGATCGCATTCAAGCTCGTTGACTTTTTGTCTCGGCCAGGAAATGGTGGAGGCGGCAGGGGATGAGGAGAGGGAGCTGGCGGCTGAGATGGCGGAGGCCTTCCTGCAGGAGGACCTGCCGGAGAGCCTGTTTGGCGCCCCCAAGGCCGGCCCGGGCATGTGGGCCTCGCTGGTGCGGCTGCTGAACCCAGTCAGCGGGACCACGCTGGACACGGTGGCGCTGGAGCAGAACGAGGCAGCCTTCAGGTGAGGAGAGTCCCTCGAACCCGTGGACGGCTTTGATTCATTATTCTTCGCGCATCAGAGAGTGAGGGGACTGTGTACTCCGTCCGGTTCGGACGTGACTTCGTCGCACATTGGGCAACCACCACTGATGGCGCGCTTCCTTTGGAGGAGCAGTCGTGTTTCTCACAAACTTCCGATTCCACAGCCCCGTATAGCTCAACAGTGCATCGGGCGTGGCTGAAACTGAAGAGACGTCACCCTTCAGAACCGCACAGGGAGTGCGGATGACACTGAGGCACTCCGTGTACATCCTAGCTTACTCGTGGGGCCGTCGTGTCTTTAAAAATGAATGTGCACAAATCGAAAACCAGTTTTCATCAAGATGGACCACTGTTGTCTTGCGTACGGCAGCGGTATCATATATCTTTTTGGCCCATTTTGTCTTGGTGTTTCGATGACGCAGTATCACAGACGGGGATATTTTTCACACTTTTCATTGTTTGATTTTTGTTCTCTCCTCTTGCAGCCTGTGCGTATGCAAATTTGCCAATCGGGGTGATGACACCTTCGTCTTGGTCGGCACAGCCAAGGACGTGACGCTGAGCCCGCGGACTTGCTCCGGTGGCTTCATACACGCGTACCAGCTCGTTGACGACGGCAAGAAACTGGAACTGCTCCATAAGGTAACTGAGTCACCGTTGTACGGGGATCAGTCTGACACTCAGACCAGTCTGTCGGTAGTCCGTTTCACATCCACCCTGAGGACTGATGTACAGGCTTTAAAAAAAGTCCTCCGGAGTACTGGAAATCGTAGTTAGGACTTCACAAAAAATCCCTGTACATCTCAGTGAAGTCTTGGGCTCTTTAGGTGTGTGGTGAATACTTTGTGGTGCAGATACACAGAAAAACAAAATTAAAGATTGCCACTTAAAAATATGATTTTAAACCGATTATTTCCTGCTTTTTGTAGACCCCAGTGGACGATGTTCCGTCGGCGATTTGCCCATTCCAGGGGCGTGTCTTGGTGGGTGTGGGCAGACTGCTGAGAATCTACGACCTGGGCAAGAAGAAGATGCTCCGCAAGTGTGAAAACAAGGTAAAACATTAATGAGTGTAGAGCCTAATAGAGGGTTTGCACGGCTGCCATCTTGCAGGCCAGTGCTATTGTTCATAGGGTATGCACAAAGGAGGTTTCTCTGTGGAACAAAAGAACTGCCCAGCGAGATGGCTACCACGCGAAACCTCTACAAATTTTATTCACAAGGATGCCTGTTTTAAATTTGTCCTTCGAATCTGTCTGTTTAGTGTTATCTGTTAAACAGGTTGGTGCCAGGCTATTTGGGGTTCCAAACTTCACTTTCATTTTTTTTAATGTGGCTTCAAACACTTAGATATAATTTATCACCAATTTTAAATTATTATATACCAAAACTTGCATGAATTTGTACGAACTTTTATTTTGTCGCTGTTATTTTTCCTCTGAGGTTCCCCAAATGAAAAAGTTTTATCTCGCTTTCACTCCAAGATGGCTAACGCTTGAATAGAGTCTTATTCTCCTTCCGTTTTTATCCCCCCCTTTCCGTCAGCACATCCCCAACTTCATCATTAACATCCAGACCTCGGGCCACCGCATCATCGTCAGCGACGTGCAGGAGAGCGTCCACTTTGTCCGCTACAAGCGCCCGGAGAACCAGATGGTGATCTTTGCCGACGACACCCACCCGCGCTGGGTCACGGCGACGACCAGCCTGGACCACGACACGGTCGCGGTGGCTGACAAGTTTGGAAACCTCAGCATAGTAAGAAAGCCCGTCTTGCTGCTAGTTACAGGGTTGTGCCGATGCCCTTCTCCAAGAAGTACAAGTGTTTTGAAATACACAGTGGCATTGTGGCTCAAGTACTTACACTATTGAGTATTGATAGTGTTTGTTCGGACAAACAGTTGGTCCAAAACTAGTCAAACTTAAGTCGGCGTGTTATATGGTTATGACAATGAATAAGCCGATTTTGACGCTAAAGGTACCATTTAAAGGTGGGTGCATTTTGGAGGGTCAGGTTGGCGTAGTGGTACTGTCCTTGACTTCCTCCTTTAAGGCTCGGGTTTACATCCCACTTAGGCCAACCTGTGGATTCGGTTTTCAGTCCCTACCTAATTCAGTGGGTTTCCCTTGAATATTCCGTGTTTCCCTCCCACCTCTAAAAGTTAGGATTTCTTCATGGTCTTCTCCTCCAGTGCTTCGACGGAAAACGGTTTGTTTCTGGTAGCACTCTCCTGGTGAAGTGGAAATAAAATAAAACAAATGCTTCTTGATGTTGCCAATTTTTTCCCTGGCCTTGTTTGGAAATCTCTGGCAGTGCGAACCTGCCTCGCTGCTCATTCACCTGTGTTTTGTTGTCTTCGAAATTTTTCACTTTCAAGACGTACGGTAAGCGTGCGTTACGGTTAAAACCATCCCCAAATTCCTTCCCCCGACGTAGATTCGGCTGACCTCGGGCACCAACGATGAAGTGGACGAGGACCCCACGGGCGTCAAGGCCCTTTGGGACCGGGGCCTGCTGAGCGGCGCCTCCCAGAAGTCGGAGATCATCTCCAACTTCCACGTGGGCGACACCATCCTGTCGCTGCAGAAGGCCACGCTCATCCCCGGCGGGTCGGAGTCGCTGGTCTACACCACGCTGTCGGGCGCCATAGGGATACTGGTGCCCTTCACGTCACACGAGGTCAGATATTTCTAGCCTGTTGGTTCAGTTAGCAAGACTTATCAAAGGCGTGCGCTTGATTTCTGGGAAAATTCTCTTGGCTCAAAGTTTAAGGTCAACATAAAGTAACTTTTTGCAAGTCGAAACACCTTATAAAGACTTGATTTGTACTTGGCATGGAAGCTAACATAAATGTGATTCGATGATATCTAATCGAATAATCATGCTGCGAATTTGTAAAACACGATTCATGACACCATATGTGCTCTACTTTCATATTTGCTTTAGGCACGAACTGCCTTCACACTCGTCGCTGTTGAAATGTATAATAGGTTTATTTTGGATTGGTAAGATTTCATCCAAGTTATTAAAACGTTAGAGAGATTTTTGTGACATTCAATTTAGTCCTTTTTCTTACTTCTTTAGGACCACGACTTCTTTCAGCATCTGGAAATGCACATGCGGTCAGAGTTCCCGCCCCTGTGCGGCCGAGACCACATCTCCTTCAGGTCCTACTTCTTCCCAGTCAAGGTAAGCGACTGACTATGGTCATTTCGACGCCCCCTTGGTTCATAACTGCCTTGATTGTTCCCCATCGGCGAGCGTCGGAGCTACCCCCACTGGGACCCATTGGATTTGCCCCCAGTGTTCTAGTCGAGACCTCTTAAGACCATCGCAAGACCCCTCCCAAGACCAACACAAGACCTCCAGTCCCAAGCTTATTCACATGAACTGCAACAACAGCATTCCTTTGTCATTGTTCACTCTGCTACTTGTGACTGGTGTTTGTGATTGGTCTGTCTGGTCTTGTGTGATGGTGTAGACTGTAGCACTAGTTCGTCCTCTGCCCAAAACTGGCTGAAATGGTTCCTTGTTCACTTGTTTCGTTGTGTGGCCCAATTTTGTGAACCTTTCTGAGCACATAAAATTTGATGAGCTCAGAAAATTTATCCTTGGCATCAACAAGTTACAAAAATGCCTACAATATACACTTTTGGCAACTGGATCTCAGCCAAATGTCGCTAAGCTGATAAATTTGGGAAGTAGTTTCTCCCAACCAATGAGCTGGGTCCAGTTTTTGGACAGATTAGAAGCAGTTACATTCAAGACGAGGACTGTAGAGTGACTGTAGGACTTGTCGCCCATGTACTCCGAGAGAGTTTACCTAACCCAAGTGCTGCGAAACACCCTGAGTCAGTACATATCTTGCTGTGAGCGATTACTCACTGTCTGGGTACTGAATATCTGATTTTCCTGTTTTGTTTCAACATATTCAGAATGTGATTGACGGCGATCTGTGCGAGCAGTTTAACTCCATGGATACCGGCAAGCAGCGCAGCGTGGCCGACGAGCTGGACAGAAACCCAAGCGAGGTGAGTATACACGAGTTTCTATCGGTGCTGGGCGTTGTTCAGAGAACGTTGAGCAAGTCTTGCCCCAAATGAACTTGTACGTCAAATTTCACAAGCATGTGCTGAAGAACAACATCAAATCCTCTATCCCAGGCTAAGCTCTCTTCCCTGACTCCCCCTGACTGCTGGCTCGCCGATTGGTCCCATTCACGAGTCGGCCATATTGAATTGAAAGCGAGGTTAACTATTTTATTGTGGCCACCAGTGAGCAAAACTGAAAGCACTAAAAGAAAACTTCATCACAAAGTAACGTTGGTGTTGATGAAGAATTTGAAAACTTGTGATCAATTGTATGTAGATGTTCAAATGAAAGTGAGGCATGGAACCCCGAATAGTCTGGCACTTTTCCATGTAACACATCACATTGAATAAGGTGAATTCTGGGAACACAACCAAAATGGCTTCCCCAGAAATAAGGTCTATGATGTCATTTACCTGCAGTCTGCAGTGTCTTTTATTCAGAGCACTTTGAAACAACAGAGAACACAACATGTTCCCAACTAGAGCGTCAGTTTTATGAAAGTCCAAATTGTTGTGACACATTGATTCTTGCTCCCGGACTTTTCCCACACGCAGATTTTCCTGTCTTTGGGTTCAAATGTAATGTCAACTCCTGCGGTTCATTCTGAGCATTGTTGATCTGAATTTTTGCCAGCTCTGACGTTTTAAGTCTTTTTTCTTTGCGTTCCTCAGGTCTCAAAGAAGTTGGAAGACATCCGGACCAGATTTGCATTTTAATAAAGTCAAGTTAAGAAATTCTGGAAAGAACAGAAGCCTAAATCGGACAAAGTACCACCTGTTGCGTCTCCAAGGCTGTTTAGATCTTACCTTCTGCGGGTTTGATCCTCGTGTGAAGTTTCTACTTTGCGTAAATGAAACTTCTATGAATCTTGTACATCCTTCACAATCTGCAAGAATTACCATCCACAGTTAACTGCAAGGATTTTTGCAGGATTTTGCAAGAATTTGATAATTGAAGGATTAAGAGCAGAGCATACTAGAGGGAGATTCACCTGAACAAAAAATGCCAATGGGGATGTTAGGTTAAGTGGTTTTGTGAGCCAGTGAACCCCTTTTAAAGAGAATTTCAGTCGAAAGAAATGCCTGGGGCTTTGTCAAGTTGAAGAAGTTTTTCCTCAGTCGTCTGTAGGTCGTCGAAAATGTTGATTTGTATCACTGAATTCGATGCTAGCGACAAATCGTGGCGACAACTTTTATGAAGAGGGCAACAACAGCTCTGTAAAGTAGCCCTAATTGTCTTCAGGGGGAACTGTCCACTGGCCGTTTTTTACTTTGGATCCATTGTACATATTGCAGCTGCCACACAAAGCTTTGTTTCCCTGGTTGTAAATAGATTTGCCAGTTACTTCTAGAGTAGACCCATTTGGGCACTTTTCGGGGGAGGGGGGGGGAACGTGTACATGTGCGTGATACACATGCGAAATTGTGTCATTAATTTTACCCATGCATATTTCTAAAAGTGTTTTTTTGTCCATATTGAAGGCCTGCATTCACTCTTGTATTCTACATTTCAAGGGAACAAACCTGCAAAAACGAGTGAAAACATGATTGTTTACTGCCCCCCCCCCAAAAAAATGGTTTCGATTTCGAGCCCCACGAATGTGAAATGTTTTTATTATTTCAATTGGTTCTTCAGTGCACATCTCTACTACTAAAATATACATTTCACTGTTGCTTAATCCGTTTTCAGTATGATTTTTACTTACACTCTGGGGGGTTAGAGTTAAAGAAGGGGCCCGAATGCAAAATATTGACAAATTGCTTTCCACTATTGATCATTGTTAGTTGTGTTAAATCATTACTTTTTGTAAAATACCTTGGCAATAAAATCATGGTATTAAAGAAAATGAAGTGTCTGTATTAATTGAATTCATCTTATGTGTGTGAGTGCTACAGCTTTTGTTTTGATCGGGGTGAACCTGTTCTGTGTATACTCATCTGTAAGTTCTGTTCTCTTTAATTAACTCTAGTTAATTTGAAAGGTAGAAGATTGAACGTTCATGGTTAAGGATTGTCATATTCGAAGTTGTTATAACTTCGGAAATCATAGTTATCTATAATCATGCCTTTTGTCACTCGGCAATTTTCTTCAAGACGTATTTGTATTTATCTGTAGACTTGCTGATATTTGTCGTTGCAGTCAAGAGCAGTAATTTTCTATTTTGAATATAACGCCTTTCACAGTGCCAAGCATATGTCTGTGGTGCCAAGTGCAATAATACAGTGCCCTCTGGTGACAATTTTGCAAGCCCGCTTGACTGACTGTCGTTAAGAATCAAAGACCGTTATTGATTGGTCCTTCTTGGTAATTGCTCCTATAAAACACTGAATGGCCTGACCCAATGGGCGGGCGGCTCGTATTAGGTTCGGTGGGCCGGCACTTGACATGCTCACTGTAGGTGCGCAGTTAGATGTAATAAACATAGGCCTACATGACATTATGCTACATTGCTGGTGCGAGGCGACGGTGTTTCGTTTGTCAAGTCGGACGAAAGGACGGAGGGTGAGGCAAGCTTCTTATCAAAGATTTTCCCAAATCCACGGCATCAGATTGTACTAACGATGTAATCTTCTGGAAGAGCAGAATCCAGTACTTACGGCTTCCACTATGAGCGGAGCAGCGGCGGGGTACAAGTCCAGTTACGATGGGAAGATCGCCGGCATGTACGATCTCGAGGAGACGCTGGGCCGGGGTCACTTCGCCATCGTCAAACTTGCCCGGCATGTATTCACGGGCCAGAAGGTCGCCGTCAAAGTCATCGACAAGAACAAATTGGACGACATCTCCCGGGCCCACCTCTTCCAGGAGGTCCGGTGCATGAAACTGGTCCAGCATCCCAATGTGGTGCGCCTCTATGAAGTCATCGACACCCAGACGAAGCTCTATCTCATCTTGGAACTCGGGGACGGAGGGGACATGTATGATTACATAATGCAACACGAAAATGGCCTAAGTCAGGACCTTGCGCGAAACTACTTTTCCCAAATAGTCAGTGCAATCTCTTACTGCCATAAATTGCATGTCGTTCACCGTGACTTGAAGCCAGAGAATGTTATATTTTTCAAGAAACAGGGCGTTGTCAAGTTGACGGATTTTGGTTTTAGTAATCTGTATAGGCCAGGTGAAAAGCTTGAGACATCTTGTGGAAGCCTAGCGTATTCAGCCCCAGAGATTCTTCTAGGAGATTCCTACGATGCCCCAGCAGTCGGTGAGTACATTAATGACCCGAGTTCCATATGAAGACGCTGCTTAAATTCCTGTGTATGAAACGTATGAGACTGGTCTGAAAAATTCGAAGTGTTTTTCATGTGAAAACTGCAACATTTTTCCTGCAAAACTTAAATTTTGTTATTGCTTTTAGACTAATATGGCAAGTAACTATTGAGAAAAATTTGTGGCTGTCTGTAGGCCTATGGGATTTTTTTTCCGGAATAGATTTCAAGTTTTGTGGCTGTTGTTAACATTCAGACATTGACCATTGCCTTCGCAGAGCTAGAGTGCTTATTGATACCTCAACTCTCCCTGTTGTAATTGCCTGATAACCCCGAATAAATCTCAAACTAGGCCTTGGGATTTATTGGAATCTCATCTTTTTTTGTTAACATGTGTTTTGATGTTAGGAAACCCCAGCTCATAATGCTCATGACAACAGGAAACTAACTTTAAACATGGTCTTGATGGTTAACTGATAAAATTGGCCTGACTTTTAAGACACATTCGTTGTTGAGTTTTCATGTTTGATTATCCTTTACAAGCCAAAAGAAACCCAAAAGGTGAGAAAGCTAAACAGTGCCGTCATTTCTACAGAAGCATTGGTTACTTTGACTTGGGAAAAAAAATTGTCTTACTGTTACCGGTAGCTTCTCTCCAACGTTTTTTGTCATTGAATGAATTTTATCATGTTTCACCAGTGGGGGTGACCTTTAATTATTCCTTGGCCATTCACATCACTGTCGAAGGCCTTGGTGAAATTTGCCCAGGCAAAGCTGAGATATTTACAGGAGGCGAACAAAGGGGGCATGCCAAATTTCAAATGGATACAAGATTGGATTTCAGCTTATTCATGCAAGACGAGCATCCTTGTAGGGATTAGGAAATTTAAGCTTTTAAGCTTTTTCTCTTACTTTCTGGTTGAGTGAACACATCTGGTGCTGTTCAGTGATTAGCTACTCAGTTTATGTTCTTCGGTCAAGCTGTGCGTGTATTCTGGATGTGAAGTTTTCCCGAAAAGTCTGCTGGAAATGCACTCGGGAATAAGACACAAAACAGTTGGAGTGCATGTGGTTTGAGAGAAGCTCAGACTGGTTCCTAAAACAGGCATTTAGGAAACGTACACCTACTATTGAAGTGCGACTGTGCTTTGAAATGCATGTGCTCAGTCTCCTGGTCGGGCCTGCATTTCTTGGGGGAAAAACACTCACATGTACTTCCACAAGACAAAATAGGGGTTGGTAAGTCATCAAATTGGCTACTAAATGAGAAAAGATTGCGTCAGACCAAACTTTTGCAAGAATGTAAAGAGATGTATGCTATTGACATTTTTTTCTTCGGCCATTAAAGGACATGTACTCTTTTTTAACCTAGCCACTTGTCCCACGGCCAGGCATAAAACAATTTGGGACAGGAAGCACACTCAAGTACAAAATTGCCAAACACCTCCCCTGTTTTCTCCATAAATCTTTAACATTTCTAAAGAATTCTTTGTATTTCCTTCCAACACATCGCGTGGAGTAAAAACACAGGACTAGATAGCATCAAGGGTTATTAATCCCAAAGATTTGTCTGGGCGCCAACCGGCAGTTCTTTCAAACACTGGCTGGGAAGAGACAGACCGAAAATTGGTGAATCCCAGAAACCTGGGGTGCACTTAAGAGTGTCATTTCCTACAGAGGTAACCTCTCTTGTTTCTTGCTATAGGAACAATTGGAGGAAGTTGTACACTACCTCTGTATTTGACTATTCTTGTGCCTGTGTTCCTCTACAACTTCATATTCTTTGTGGTGTGCGTAGCGAGCAAACTTGCTGGGTTTGTTGTCGTTAGTGGAAACAGCTGGTAGCCTGTCATAGAGCTGCTTAAGCACAGAATTTGCTAAAGAGTTAAAAAACCAATAAACAAAGGTTATCAGCTCAAACTCTACGTGATTGTCGTGCTAACCAAAAGACGGGTAAATACCATTCCAAAACAACATACATCGCAAGAAGTTTGGGCCAGTAACCTGATTTGTCAAGCAAGGTTTTCCACGCTTAAAAATTTTTTTTCGCTTAGGCAGTACTATGAAATTGGCCCAACTCAGTAGCTGGACAGTCCAGCATGTCTATATTTGAAGCTGTGCTGGTTTGGGGGACTTTACCTACTGGTACTCTTCCAGTAATATGGCCTCATCTGTGTACATGTATTAGGCAGGCCGTGTCACGTTACAGACAAAGCAGGCCAAGTGATAGAAACAAGAACAGTTTCTCATCCTGTTTGAAAGGGGAGGAGTGGTCCTTATTTTTAAGACGGAAGACTTCCCCAGATGACAGTCTGATTTTTCATAAACCTTCAGCTAGGTAAATTTTTTTTTAGACAGAAAAAAGTTCAAAGTGCTAGTGCAGCAAAACTACACCGGTAGCCAAAACAGGGAGAGAACAAAATGTAGGTAGGAAGGTACCGAAGAAATGAAGGAGAGATGGAACTTTTTTTTTTTATTATTTGGCCTTATATAACAGGCGCTGAACCTCCACTGGCAGAAGTCGTAGGGGGAAACAATCACTTTCTGAAGCTTTCCTGAGGAAATCACTTGGATAGCTTTGTTAATGGTCCATTGAGTGTGGACATGAGTAGGTTGCTGATTGAAGTTGCAAAGTGTGAATCTATTTTCAGTAAGTTAATATTGCTGAAGCAAAAATTAATCAGAACCCAATCTCTTGTGGCTCACTAGAGCTGTAAAAAAACCTGTTAAAGTTTCACTAAAGGCCCCCCAAAACTGCTAGCTGATTGGCCCCGAATCTCGTTGTTGCCATGGAGAAACATTTGAATTACAGTGTGATTTGTCAGCCAGTGGGTTGGAAAAGCCTGAAATCATGCCTTGAACGTTTCACCGTCTTTTCGACAATTCTCCTCATGGGGGTCATACTTTTTTGATTTGTGAGCATGATTTTAGCGACCGTCCTGAGAGCCATATGTTTGTATTTTAGCCTACAAATCCACATGCACCGAAGTCTGATAACAGCGGTATATAAATAGATGAAAGACCCAGATTAAATTTAGAGGCCCGGGAAAAGTGCCGCATCCGTCCAGCCCGGGTCACATCCGAGTCTCCTGGGACTGGGTTTGACGTCATAGCCTCCCCCATTGAAGCGTGCCGACTCAAGCTCCCTGCGGAAATGGCGGTGTCTTATCTTTGTCTTTATACATCAGGGCAAAAAGTGTTTTCTTGCAGTTTGAAATGCTCGAGGACTGTAACCAAAATAGGCCGGAATCCAGATCGGAGTGAGACATTAATTCACGCCTCCTGGCTATTTTGATCGTCCCTCTTGTTTGACCTGGAAAACCAAGTCAGAAATTGAACAAATATGACAAAGTAATGTCATAAGATGTCCAGAATCTATTTTTTTGAAAATTTGGACCGGGATTTGTTTTTGTTGAATTTGTTTGATTGTGTTGATTCAACTTTATGCTCGGGGGGTTGTATGTTTATTTGTTCACGTTCATCCTTTTGGCCTGTTTTGTCTTTTTGCACGCGTTCATTCAGAAGAACTTTTATTTTGTAACATCAGGTTTTGTCTGCCTGCCAGCCAGCCAAAATAAACAGTACCGTCACAAGGAAGATCCTCTGTCCTTCGAAGATCCTTATTCTGCCTGCATACAGAGTACATACATACAAATGTATGTACATGCTACATGTACAGAGGGCCGCAGCTGTGCTGAACTGCAGTGTTGACATACACTGTACTACATGCCCTCTGCCAGCGTCGCTGTCGTCACCATCGTCATCTTATTCAACACAGTGTGACCGCACTGTCCACTTGACCTCCGGAGGTGTATTGATTTAATATGGTGGCATTGCACTTGCAACAAAGTTCCTGTGTGCCTTGGACTCTTTTTCTCCCAGATCCTTCAAAATCCACATGGAGATTTTGAAAGATTGAGGAAGATGTGATATTAATGACATGTGATTAACCCCTTGGCATATCGCCTGAGATATAGGACTCAGTGCTACAAAGTACTATGTCCAGTAGTAGTCTGAGCCTGAAGGACCTAGTGCTAAAAATTACTACTTCTGACTAGGGCACTTCCATTGTTACTTGTACAGAGAACAATAAGGTCATGTACAGTACTCATAGAAACCACAGCACTGTATGCTAGTATTGAGGCGCAGCATTGTATGGTACGACCAAAACAGTCGCATTTGCTCCTAAAAAATGATGTGGAACCAACTGTTTAATTCTTATCGCCAAAGGTGACCATGATTTGTGCCTGTCAGTCACCCACCTTGTCAGTCATATTTGACGAACGATCGCAGCCCAGTTTTCTTCTACGTGCACATACACGCACATACAGGCACTAGGTACCCGAGTCGACTGGTTTGTGGTCGCTTGCTGTATAGAGTGTGTATGAGGAGCTGCGACGTTTTGCATATTCATTAGATGCACTAGCAGTCTGTGCATGCCACAATTCCAGTGCCGGTCCAGTCCCAGGTACAAAGTAAAGAGAACAAACATGCCTTGTCTTTTCTTCCAGCTTTTTTTCCATATCATTGGTTGCTATTTTTGATTTATTCCACAAGCACAAAATCCAAAGCCTGCCTGTCCTGCAGATAATGGACAGAACACTGTTTCTGTGTGTTTTGTCCGATTTTGTTGTAGGCCTAACTCGTGTGTGCTGCAAATGTGCGTACTGCATGTACAAAAATCGACCTCGCGCCTGACTTTTTTTTTTCCAAAGAGCCAGTGGCTCTTCATTTTAATTTTCTCTGTGCAGCACTGTTGAAGCCCTTAATTCTACTACTCGGACATCTAAGTACTCAGCAGTACTCAGTACTCGGAATAAAGTACTCGACTACAACACTGAGTGAGGTTGAGCTTACTAACAAACGTTACGCAGGTACAAAATGTGCTCATTGAGGATGTGCACATGTACATGTACACAGGTTGAACATGCAAAACACTTGGCTGTCGTGACTTGCCAAAATGGTAAGTGCACCCGAAGTATAGTCAAGAACGTGC